AAAAGCAGCTGCTTCTTCCAAGACACTGCTGCGTTTCCTGCTGGGGTACTGGCACAAAAAGCGATTGTTTTTTCCAAGACATTGTTGCGTTTCCTGTCAGGGTAGTAGCATGAAAATCAGGTGAGTTTCTTAAAGAGACATCACTGCGTTTCCTGCCAGGATATTTGCACGAAAAGCAGCTGTTTCTTCCGGGACATCACTGCGTTTCCTGCCACAATATTGGCACAAAAAGTGGTTATTTTTAACCGAGACATTGCTGCATTTCTTGTTGGGATAGCGCCACAAAAAGTGATTTTTTTTCCCGAGACATTGCTGCGTTTCCTGCCAGGGTAGGGATATGAACAGCACTTATTTTGCTCCAAGACATCGTTGCATTTCCTGTCAGGATAATGGCACAAAAAGTGGCTGATTTTTTCAAGACACTGCTGAGTTTCCTGCCAAACGAGTGCCACAAAAAGCGGTTGTTTTTTCAGAGACATAGCCGCTTGTCCTGCTGGGATATTGGCACAAGAAGCAGCTGTTTCTCCAAAGACACTGCGCAAAAAACGATAGTTTTTTCCGAGGCATGACTGTGTTTCCTGCCACATTATTGGCACAAAAAGTGGTTATTTTTAACTGGGACATTGCTGCATTTCTTGTTGGGATAGCGCAACAAAAAGTTGGGGTCTTTTTCCAAGACCTTGCTGCATTTCCTGCAAGGCAGTGGCATGAAAAGCAGCAGTTTTTAGGAGACACTGCTGCGATTCCTGCAGGGTACTAGCCTGAAAAGTGGTTGTTTATTCCCAAGACATTGCTGCATTTCCTGTCGAGATAAAGCCACAAAAAGCAGTTGTGTCTTTTGCAGACACATTGCTGCATTTCCTGTCAGGATAGTGTCACGAAAGGCATTTCTTTTTTAGAGACATCGCTGCTTTTCTTGCTGAGATAGTACTGTGGAGAGCCATTGTGTTTTTTACGAAGATACTGCTGTGTTTTCTGCTGCGATACTGGAAAATAAAAAATAAATACACCACCACACGCTGAGAATGGGTTGTAAGTGATGACTAGTATTTATTTAACATGTGTGAATTAGAGGTGGAAGTTGAACAGTGCAGCCACTGGCTTCCTAAGAAAGAGAAATTAAGAAACACAGTCTGCTTGGTACACCACGGCGTCGACCCAGATTATGTTTATCCAATTTGCTGTGACTTACTGTACTGTATAGTACAGTGGAGACATTCCAGTGTCCATTACATGTGTTACCCAGTAGTGCTGGCACAGTTAGAGTTAGCTGGATGAAGATGGCACAAACTCTAAAATGAATCACGTTAACTCTTTAATTTGTTGGTCCATGCTGGAAATTTGTTTTTATTTTCCTCAGGACTTTACTCGGAAATTGTAAGTAATAAATATTGAACTTGATTTGATTACATTTAACAGTCAGTTGACCCAGTGTGTCCAGTTTATGGACAGTACGTTCTTCACCATCCTGTCGCTGCAGCGTTCATATAGATGGTGCTGCGATTGCTCTGCGCGTACCTTTCCACGCAGCCTTCAAATGAAGAGGCTCTTTACTCTAACGAGATCATTTGATAAAAGTTAAACAGGTTATACTAAATAAGCTCGATCATACAGTAGAGGTCGTGCACATAGGTGACATGCCAGATGTGACAGTGCTGTGACAAGGTTCAGAGAGGTGACATGTCACGTCAGAGCTGAACAGCGGCTGTTTGTTCGTCCTCTGCCTCATTTCTGCAGCTGAAATGTTAAAAGTGGAATAATCGGACGGTGTGTGACTCCAATGAGTGTCACTATGTGCTGCAGTTAGATAACACTTAAAACTGGGTCATAAATTAAGTGTTTTCGATGTTTTTTGTATGATTTGATTTTCTGCTGCGTCATATCAGCTCGGTCAGCAGACGGAAAGCGTTGCTGCCCAGCCTCAGACCACTGTTCAAGACCAATAAACAACAAGACTGGGTGTTTTTAGGAAGACATCATCGGCATTTCCATTCACCAAAAGAGAGTGTTTTTTAGCTCGACATTCAAGACGTTTCCAGCAGCAATTGTGCAAATTATATTAACCTAACCATAACCAAGTGTGTTTTGTTCCTAAACATAACCACATGTTAACGGCAGCATTGTTGAAATGCTGGTTGTTTTTTAACGGGACATCAGCAGCATTTCCAGCTGCGATTGTGGCACAAAAAACAGGTATTTTAAGCCAATACATGATCGTTTTTCTCACCATAACTAAGTGGTATTTGTGCCTGAACATACCTGCACGGTAATCCCAGCTTTGCCAGCAGTGCCACCAAACGCAGGTGTTTTTAGCCAGACATTGGCGCCATTTCCAGGAGCAGTTGTGCCACCAAAACTGGGTGTCTCTGGTCTCTCTATCTCTCTGTCTACTGGATAACTTGTACCCCGTCAGGCCTTTGAAATCATTTAAAATAAAATAGGTAAAAGAGCGTGACAGCTAAACACTAACATGAAATGATCACTTCTAATCATTACACACAGATATCAATCATGTCCCTTGAGTTAAGTCATGATAGGCAAGTTTTAAAGGCCAATATAAAGCCCTTACTTGGAAAGCACACTAAGTCACTTGTATGTAGTGTGTGGGTCAGTACATCTGGCACGTCTTGTACGAATGTAAAGACCACGTAAACAGCTCTTCATTAAGATGTGTGCTCTTACAGGACATACTTTCACCTAAAGACGTCACCTGAATGTACTGCAGGCTGAAGAAAAACACTCTGATGGAGTGAAATATGTCACTGTTTTAAGGAAATGTCAGGAGATCATCAGAATTAGGTAACGAGATAAATGGTTTCTTAAGGAATGCACATAAAAAGTGCCTCTATGTGCCTTTGGCCTGAAATAAACCTAAATAAGTCATCTGACTATTGCATGTTTTTCTAAGCAAAGAAATCAAGCTGTAATTGCATAAAATGTCACTTTGATTTCTATTTCATTTTATAGACTGGTGGTGCAAGTGGAGGGAAATACTTGTTTTGGTGTTGACTTTGCCTGGGCTATATTTAACAAGTAGAATAAGGTAAGATAAGACATGATAAGACCGGGGGGAAACTGCAGTGCAGCAGCTGCAATACAGTGTTACAGGAATGCAGATACAAAGTGTGTAATTCACAAGGATTAAAATAAATATAGAGCAAAAATAAACTAAATATAAACCCAGATAACAGTGCAAAGGGTAAGAACTAGCTAACAGCAAAGTTCAACAATAGACAAAAAACTGTAAGGTACATGGTGAAATATTTGACTGTAAACTTACGGTAAACCATAGGCTACTAGTTGCATCCCTTTCACAGTCAGTTACTGTATATTTTTTTACAATAAAATATTGTGAAATGACGTCTCACAGTAGTAAAGTCTGCATATGACTGTGATTTAGCAATATGCTTCCATAGAATTACTGTATTTCACTGTAATCTCACAGTTAAACTCCATATATTGCTGTGATTTAGCAGTTTGCTCCCACAGAATTACTGTATTTCACTGTAATCTCACAGTTAAACTCCATATATTGCTGTGATTTAGCAGTTTGCTCCCATAGAATTACTGTATTTCACTGTAATCTCACAGTTAAACTCCATATATTGCTGTGATTTAGCAGTTTGCTCCCATAGAATTACTGTATTTCACTGTAATCTCACAGTTAAACTCCATATATTGCTGTGATTTAGCAGTTTGCTCCCATAGAATTACTGTATTTCACTGTAATCTCACAGTTAAACTCCATATATTGCTGTGATTTAGCAGTTTGCTCCCATAGAATTACTGTATTTCACTGTAATCTCACAGTTAAACTCCATATATTGCTGTGATTTAGCAGTTTGCTCCCATAGAATTACTGTATTTCACTGTAATCTCACAGTTAAACTCCATATATTGCTGTGATTTAGCAGTTTGCTCCCATAGAATTACTGTATTTCACTGTAATCTCACAGTTAAACTCCATATATTGCTGTGATTTAGCAGTTTGCTCCCATAGAATTACTGTATTTCACTGTAATCTCACAGTTAAACTCCATATATTGCTGTGATTTAGCAGTTTGCTCCCATAGAATTACTGTATTTCACTGTAATCTCACAGTTAAACTCCATATATTGCTGTGATTTAGCAGTTTGCTCCCACAGAATTACTGTATTTCACTGTAATCTCACAGTTAAACTCCATATATTGCTGTGATTTAGCAGTTTGCTCCCATAGAATTACTGTATTTCACTGTAATCTCACAGTTAAACTCCATATATTGCTGTGATTTAGCAGTTTGCTCCCACAGAATTACTGTATTTCACTGTAATCTCACAGTTAAACTCCATATATTGCTGTGATTTAGCAGTTTGCTCCCATAGAATTACTGTATTTCACTGTAATCTCACAGTTAAACTCCATATATTGCTGTGATTTAGCAGTTTGCTCCCACAGAATTACTGTATTTCACTGTAATCTCACAGTTAAACTCCATATATTGCTGTGATTTAGCAGTTTGCTCCCATAGAATTACTGTATTTCACTGTAATCTCACAGTTAAACTCCATATATTGCTGTGATTTAGCAGTTTGCTCCCACAGAATTACTGTATTTCACTGTAATCTCACAGGCTGAAACTAAAATGAATTCAAAATTATATTCAAATTCTATTTAACAATTTAATTCAATAAATAAAATGTATTCTTCAGCAGCTTGTTCAGCTTTTACTTCGAAAACGAACTTCCGTAGCGTCACTTACCCGCTTTTATTTTAAAAGGACACAACAGGAAGTGCTAGCTTGTTGTAGCCCTTAGCTTCTTATTTTACACATATGAGCAACTAAACTAAATCTATTTTAAGATAATTTGTTTATTGTACAACAAGTTTAGGGTGAAACTAAAATAGGTTTTTGTCCAAGCCTGCATTTCCTGTGCCTTTAACTTGTAGCTTGTTAAGCTTTTATTTCGAAAACAAACTTCCGCCGCGTCACTTACCCGCTTTCATTGTGAAGGCTTTTACCGGAAGTGCTAGCTTGTTGTAGCCGTTACCTTAACGGACGTTTTGATATGCGGAAATTTTGCAAACAAAGGGTGTTTGCAATCACAACAAGGAAAAAGAACATGTTAAACCTTCGTTGCGAAACCAGTGGATGTTTAGCTGAGCAGATAGGCGATAAAACTAAATGATTCCGGTGAAGACAATGGAAGATGAAGAGCGGCTGCAGCTGGGAGGAAACCCGGACTGGATGTCGCGTCTGCCCGAGGAGCTGCTGGATGTCCCGCTGTGGGATCTGGCTATACCCGGTAAGAGAGACATACCAGGGGAAAGTCGGGCAAATTTGGCTTTATTTTATTTTCACATTACCCTGCTTGTGTTTACCTCCTCCGTGTGTACACTACATGGCCAAAAGTATATGGACAGGGGCACTTGTGTGCATATATTTAATGACTAACTGTTCACCTCTCACCACAGGGAGCCATGACAGCATGTCTTTCTGCCTGGATGTGTCCTCTCCTGTCCTGAGATCAGAGCCCCGTGTCCTCAGAGTCACTGACATGCTGTTTCCCTGGTGTACTCGAGCCTGTGTCTACCGCTGGGCCACCACACAGGTACATGGACCAGCGGGATTTGTACTTGGGTCACTCTGTAGTTACAACTCCAAAACACTAGTCGGCGCTGTGGTTTCTGCGAAGTGCTGTGTTGAATCAAAACACACATTAAACACACATTAAACACACATTAAACATGGCTTAATAGAGACAATTTCAAACACAAGTACACAAATCAGCTTCACTATAACTCGCAGCATTCAAAGACAAACACTTGTCTTTATCTGGACACATTTCCCCCACAAATACAACATGCTAACGTTATTAGCACAAGTCTATGGCATTTTACATTGTATAAATTAGCCTAGCAGCTAGCGACCCTTTCCCTTTCTCATGTAAAACCAGGGACAACAGCGACATTTAACAAAGATAACGGTACATAATTTGGCTCCATTTTAACGCACAAAGTTCACCTAAAAACAACTGTCTTATACTAAACACGTTTTCCAAACATATCTAACATGCTAATGTTATTAGCACAAGTCTATGGTATTTTACATTGTATACATTAGCCTAGCAGCTAGCGACCTTTTCCCTTTCTCATATAAAACCAGGGACAACAGCAACATTTAACAAAGGTAACGTCACCCAAAAGTCACCCTTTGTTCTGAAATTCAGTCTGTGATGAATGCCAATCCATCTTTTTGTCTCTGGTGTATTAATGCTGTGTGTCTAACGTGTGTGTGTGTGTGTGTGTAGCAATCCGTCCTCAGTGATCAGTGTGACCTTGGTATTCGTTTCTTGGACCTGCGGATCGCTAGGAAGCCATCAGGAGGCAGCAAGTTGTTCTTCGCCCACGGCATCTACACACTGATGACTGTGAAGGTACACGCTCGGCAGTAAGTTTGAACAGGAACAACAGGAGGAGAGTTACTGAGAAGGAATGACAAAAAAATATGTGTGTTTTTATGTGTGTGTGCAGGAGGCTCTGGATGAACTGGCTACCTGGTTGGACGCTCATCCGAAAGAGATTATAATCATTTCCTGCTCGCACTTTGAATCATTAACCAGCCAAGATCACGTGGACCTTGTGGAGTACATCATCTCGCTGTTCGGAAAGAAGCTCTGCTCGTCACAGGTGACTGGGCCTGAGGACACAACTATTTTACGTTTAATAAAATCAAAGTTATCTATTAGCCAACATGTCCAATATTTGCTGCATCCAACTTCTCAAATGAGAAGATTTGCTGTTTTATATCACTGTAAACTGAATATATTTAGGTTTTGGGCTGCTTGAAGATGTCACAAACTTAATTAATTTTTAATTAACAATATGGAATACTTACTGTGTCCATGTGTTTATATGCAGGACGTTCCCACTCTGCGTTCCTGTTGGTCCAGACATCAGCAGGTTGTTGTTACCTATGGCAACCAGCAGATGGTGCTGCTGCACCCTGAGCTGTGGCATGACATACCTTACTGGTAAATACACAAATCTATGTGTTTTACGTCATGTTTGTTTTATTGTGCATCAAAATCAAGCAGGTGCTCACAACTGTAAAACAACAACCTGCAGAATGAATCATGTTTTGCTAATTTATGCCTTCATATGACCTCACATGAATACTTTGCTGATGTCTCTACACCATGAGATGTGAATCAGGTAAAATCTAATTTAAGCATCAAACTGACTGGCCTCATGGGGGCGCTCTGTCTCCAGGTATGCTGACAGCTCAGACCCGAAGAAGGTGATCGCCTACCTGGAGGACCAGAAGCACTGTGGAAGACCAGGTAGGCAGTGGTGGAGGAAGGTAGGGGCCCAAATCCAGTGGGCCCCCAAAGGCCTTCAGCCCTTAACCCTGTCTGGGAGAGTTTAAAATGATATAAATCGGCTGTCCAAGGGACATTAAGCTTAGGAATTAGGAAGTTTTTGGACAATTTCAATTCAGAACGTGTACTTTTTTAATATTGAATTTATTTTTAAAATGATTCCTGGGAATTTTAAGTAAATTTCCTGAAATTTTTGTGTAAATTTCCAGAGACATTTCCTGTAAATTTCCTGCTACATTTATTTAAAAAAAAAAATACAGAAAATGTCCAAGCCAAATTAAGCTTAGGAATTTGGCACAATTTCAATTTAAAAAGTGTACCTTTTATTATTTGTAACGTGTTTCTGAAACATTTCCAGTAAATTTCCTTAAGATTTTCTCTGCATTTTCTGGAAAATCTTAGGTAAATTTAATGAAAAAAAAAGAAAAAAAAAAAAAAGAAAAGAAATTTCTGGTAACTCTGCTGACATTTTCCTGGAAGATCTGTCAAAAAAAGGTGAGGGAAAGTTAAGCTGGTAAATTTTAGAATTTCTGCACAATTTTTATTTGAAAAGCATACCTTTTAATGGTGAACTTATTTTTAAACTTAAATTTGGAAACCTGTAGCAGATCTCCTAGATATTTTGCATACATTTTCAGATAAATTTCCTGCAAAATTTCTCATGAAAATGCAGAAAATGTCTAAGCCAAGTTAAGCTTAGGAATTTGGGAACTTTGGCACAATTTCAATTTTAAAAAAGTGTACCTTTTATTGTTTTTAATCGTATTTTTGAAACATTTCCAGCAAATTCCCTGAAGATTTTCCCTACATTTTCGGAAATACTTACTGTAAATTTAATGGGGAAAAAAAAGGAAAAATTATGGTACATTTCCTGAAATTTTCCCGGAAGATCTGACAAAAAAATACAGATGATTTCCAGTAAATCTCCAAGGGAAGTTAATTTCGATGTTTGGAGCTCTATGCACAGTTTTAATTTGAAAAGCATACCTTTTCATAGTGAACTTATTTGAAAACTTATACTTGGAAATCTTCAGCAAATCTCCTGGATATTTTGCACACATTTCCAGAGAAATTTCCCATACATTTTCAGCAAAATTTCTTTAAAACATTACAGAAAATGTCTAAGCCAAGTTAAGCTTGGGAATTTGCACAGTTTGAATTTTACCTTTTAATTGTGAACTTATTTCTGGAACAATTTCCATACATTTCCTGAAGATTGTCCCTACATTTTCTCGCAAATCCCCTGTAAATTTAATAGAAAAAAAAAAAGAAGAAAGAATGAAATTTCTACTACTTCTCCTGAAATTCTGGAAGAAAAATATGGAAAATTTCCAGGAAATTTCTAAGGGAAGTTAAGCTCAATATTTCTTTTTTTAAAAGTTATTCCTGGATATTTTGTATACATTTCCAGATAAATGTCCCGTCAATTTCCGGCAAAATTTCTCATGAAAATCCAGAAAATGACCAAGCCAAGTTAAGCTTAGGAATTTGGGAACTTTGGCACAATTTGAAGTTGAAAAAGTGTATTGTTTTCAAGCGTATTTTTGAAACATTTCCAGTAAATTTCCTGAAGATTTTCCCTACATTTTCTGGAAAATTCCCTGTAAATTTAATGGAAAAAAAAGGAAAGAAATTTGTATTTTTTTTCCCCAATTTTCCTGGAATATCTGTCAAAAATACAGAAAATTTCCAGTAAATCTCCAAGGGAAGCTAAGCTAGAAAATTTGGGAATCTGTGCACAATTTTAATTTGAAAAGTGTAACTTTTAATAGTGAAGTTAATTTGGATGGAAATACACAAAACAAATAAAATAAATACTAGGTCTTATGGCATGTTTTAAAGAAGGTTTGCTCATTTATTTATTAAAAAATAATTCAAAAATAACTAATTAAATAATTGCTCATTTATTTAATTGAACAGTCAGAAAGTATTAAAATAATTTACTAAATTGACAAAAGCAATGTTACAATATAAAAATTAGATTAAAAAGCAAAAGTTCTGCATTCAAAGTAGGTAAAATATGAGCAACGTGGTAACGTTAAAGTTGGTTAAGGTGAAGCTAATTTTCTACCATTACTACTCTGTTCTACCTCACATACCAACATAACAGACTAAAGCAACCAGTCTGTATCGCTGTCAAATAAATATAGTGGAGTTAATATTACAATATTTCCCACTGAAAATTAGAAGAATAAAAATATAAAGTGGCTAAAATGGAAACACTGAAGTACTTCTTGGACTGGACCTCCCTACTGATGGTTCACTGACCGTTTGTTTTCCAGCTGGTTTCTACGTCAGTGGTCTGAACCTGACAGAAGACGCTCCCTACGTCCTCCGCCATCCCCTCCAGGACATGAGGGAGATGACGATGAGGGCGCTCTCTGTGCTGCTCCGCTGGGCGAGCGAGCAGCGTCCGGGGCGCGAGGCGGACAGGGTCAACATCCTCTGCTGCGACTTCGTGGACGTCAGTCAGTTCTGCTCGCTTGTCATCGGCCTGAACTACAAGCTGCTCGCTGCTCCTCGCCCCGTCTGCAGGATGCCACAAGCGCCTTCCTCAGAGGTCGCTGGCTGTTGCCATAGCAACGAGACTGGAAGTCCTACGTAGAAAAACACATCTAAGAAGTCAGTTTTCTTTATGTCTGATCATGTGAATACTGAACGTTACATTTAAATATTTCCCTCCTGTCTCTTGCACATCACACACAGAATCATCTTTGTATTATTTTCAGATTGTACATATTCAGCTTTTCTAAATGTATTCTACTTTTGCACTTAATTTGCACGCCATTTTAGAAGATGTACTTTCATACTTTACATGAATAAACACTTTCATATATTTCTAACGATTTTTGCAGCTCTCCATCTGTAATGATCTCAGTAATCACATGGTATCGGTAAAGTAGAGCACAGCTTTAATGTCCCTGAGAGGCTTGCAGGCAGTAGTCAATGATAATAAATACAAATAAAATTCAGCAATAATTATAAACAGCCAAAAAAGTAAGGAGTAAGGCCAGTGTTAGGTCAGTTTTCTCTCAGACCACTTAAATTACAATATGCTCAAAGGGCTATTATTGGATCTTTGCGCAATGGCGCCAAAATTAAAGAGCCTGCCCTGAGAGAGTTTTGATCCAACAACAGACGGCAGCACTTTCCCGTCTCAACACAGGGACACTGACGACTCCAACGACAGGAAACCAAACCCAGGGTACAGAGGTTCAATGAATGCACAGCTGAAGGTGTACAGGTGGACCAGAATGTCAGGTAGAACACTGTAGAAGGACAGAGTCCCGGCAGGCCAGTCCAGATACACTCCGACTCTGTTCGAGGCCGAGGAGGGAGGCGTGAGAAGAGCTGTTCTGATATTACTGTGCCAGGCGTAGTAACATTTATCAGTCAGCTCCAGACTCCACGACTTCTCGTTCCATCCGAGCCGACTGCCGTCACGGGCTCCTCTCCTCCTGAGTCCTCTGTAAGTCACTCCAACGTCCACCCCTCCTTCAAAGTCCACCTCCCAGTAACAGCGACCAGTCAGGCCGGTCGTACACAGCAGCTGGTAGCACCAGTCGAATCTGTCCGGGTGGTCGGGATACGGCTGCTTCTCTATGGACAGCATCACTTTTCGGTTGTCCTCGGACAGGTGGACGTTTTTGTGTGCTGTGTTCGGGTCCAGCGTGAGCTCACAGGCGTCTGACGGAGAGGAAAAGGCAACAGATGTGGTTCTGAAGGTTTTGACTGAATGGGCTTTGTAATTGAATCTTTAATTTTACACACTTACACTTCACCAGACCAGATTTCAACCACTGAGCACATCCGTGATCCACACTGGAAGAGGGAAACAAAGTCAGACCAGCACTGGGGCAGCTGTTAGACAAAGAGGGTGAGTTTTTGGCTCCGATATTTTTGATTGACCGCAATATCACATCGCTTATTATTTCATTTCATCTCATTTTGCTTTAGTTATTCAGTTGTTTGTTTCATAAACCACCAAAGTAATAACACAAGTGACAAGTAGGGTAATTTTCTCATTCACTTCTACAATTTAAATGCTTTTTGCAACAGTAGACTCGCCCCCTGCTGGCCATTTGAAAGAATGCAGGTTTAAGTTTTCGCCCCGTACCTGAGAGTATCCAGTCTCCATCCTGGATCCTTCACTCCAGCGGACAGCAGCTTCACTCCTGAGTCTCCTGGATGATTGTATCTCAGGTCAAGCTCTCTGAGATGGGAGGGGTTGGACCTCAGAGCTGAGGCCAGACTGGTACAGCCCTCCTCTGTGATCAAACAGCCTGACAGCCTACACAAATACAAAAACACACGAGAAGGGAGTTTTGTCCATTTAAAAGTATGGCTAGATGTTTTTATGAGTTCACTGGTCTGGAAATGGCTGTGATATTGCAGGTGCATGACTCCAGAACATTGCACCTCCCTTACACCTCTATTCAAAATGGCGGCCCACACACCAATGGGGGACATCACAGGACATTTCACAGAAAAAAGGAAGCATAAATATACAGTAATTAGACCTTAAAGCTTCGAGTGTACAGTGTGGACTCTTGAGTCCAGCAGAGAGCAGCTTCACTCCTGAATCCTGCAGGTCGTTGTTGCTCAGGTCCAGCTCTCTCAGAGTTGACGACTTGGTGCTCAGGACTGACGAGAACTCGTGACAGCATTTCTCTGTGAGCCTTGTTTGACTCAGTCTGAAAAATAAACATATAGATCAGTCCCTACAGGATTTCATGAGCTGTGTTTTTGGATTGTTTTAAACAGAAGCGCACTAGACTCCCTCTTGTGGCCGATAATGGCAACAACAATTTTGTCTAAGGCTTATTTAAACAATGTAAAATGCCAATGTGTTTACTTTCAGGTTTTGATTGATGCAGGAAGCTTATATAACCAGGTACAAAGTCATGTTATAATGTTATCTCACCTGAGAGTTTCCAGCGTACAGTGTGGACTCCTCAGCGCAGCAGACATCAGCTTCACTCCTGAGTCCTGCAGGTCGTTGTTGCTCATTTCCAGCTCTCTCAGACTGGACGACCGGGAGCTAAACACTGGGGCCAGAGCTTCACAACTTCCTTCTGATAACTTACATCCACTCAGCCTGAAGGGTTTCAATCAATGAACGTACTTAGTAATATTCAAACTGGTCTTAGTGATGGCATTAATGAGATGTAAAGTGTAGAAGCACAGAAGATGAGCGAGTACATTTGTGGCTGCACAGACAATGAGATAAACCACCTCACAACATAGGGGCAACTGCATTTCATGAACAAGCCAAAAACTGCAGTAACACACTTCATAAACATCAGAATACTGACCTGAGAGTTTCCAAGGCACAGTGTGGACTTCCCAGACCAGCCGACATCAGCTTCACTCCTGGATCCCGCAGATCATTGTTGCTGAGGTCCAGCTCTCTCAGGCTGGAGGACTCGGAGCTGAGGACTGACGAGAGGTCCTGGCAGCATTTCTCTGTGAGTTTCGTTTGATTTAACCTGCCAAAGGAACACACACATTTACACTTGTAGTATGTTTAGGAAGAAAGACAAGAAACAGTCAGGCATATAACCCCCAAAATCCTAAAACATTAATCAAACCTGAGAGTTTGGAGTGCACACTGTGGACTCTCCAGCCCAGCACACAGAAGCTTCACTCCTGAATCCTGCAGGTCGTTGTTACTCAGGTCCAGCTCTCTCAGATTGGACGACTTGGAGCTCAGAACTGATGAGAACTCCTGACAGCATTTGTCTGTCAGCCTCGTTTGATTCAACCTAGTTAAATATAAAAAGAAACCATCATGGGATCAGTGTCTCAGTCTGTTCACCCTCAATACCAACTAACAAATATTATAGTCTGAATTTAAGGAAGACGTGACACACAGTGATGTGATCTAACCTGAGAGTTTCCAGTCTACAACGCTGACTCTCCTGCCCCACAGAGAACAGCATCGCCCCTGAATCCTGCAGGTCGTTGTTACTCAGATCCAGCTCTCTCAGAGTTGAGGACTGGGAGCTGAGTACTGAAGCCAGAGCGCCACGACTTTTGTCTGATAAATTACAGCCAACCAGCCTGAAAGAGAATGGATATTAACATACATTTACTGTGTCACACCTCTGAGTCATTACCATCCTGTGAAACATCATTTATCCTGACCTGAGTGTGTCCAGAGCACAGTGCGGACTTTCCAGTCCGGCAGAGAGGACCTTCACTCCAGAGTCCTGCAGGTTGTTGTAACTCAAGTCCAGGTTTCTCAGACCAGATGATTTGGAGCCAAGAACTGATGCTAACTCCTGGCAGCATTTCTCTGTGAGATTGTTGTGACTCAACCTGCAAAAATCAGTTGAAAGTTTTGTTCTTTATATTTAAACGCCCAGATGCACCAAGCTGACATCAAAGAACTAGTGGGGACTAAGTTGGACTTTTGCATCGCCTCATGTCGCTTGCATCTCCGCCAAAAAGTTGCACTTGAACACAACGTCAAGACGACAGCAGACAGCCAAAGGAAATAACTCTACACAGCAACAGGTAGCAGCAGTCTATACTCGTCATTCAAAAATGGAAACTGAAAACGCGACTGGACGTATTCAAGACATTTGTTAGCGCATTAACAACAAAGACCCGAAACACCCGATGACCCCAGGATACATCACTGACAATGCATCCGAGCGCTTCTACAGAATGTATTCCATAAGGTATCCAATATGATGAACTTGTTTCAATCTCACTCCCTCTTGACTTTAGTTGTTTACTTTCCTCACTTCTGATTTTCTTCTCGTGCGCTCAGCTGAACTGCCAATCAGAATGATTTCTCGGGCTCCACAGTCTCTGATTCAACGGCAAAAAAGCCAACAAGGGAGCTTACTGATGGCCCAATATTGACTGTCCCTTTAAAGCCTATGATAGAATTACGAAAGAGGACATTTGAGTGGTGGATCAACCATACAGTGCATGATCTAACCTCAGTGTTTCCAGTCCACGGCGTGGATTCTCCAGTCCAGGAAGGAGCAGCTTCACTCCTGAGTCCTGCAGGTTGTTGTTGCTCAGATCCAGCTCTCTCAGACGAGAAGACTGGGAGCTGAGAACTGATGCCAGACCTTCACAGCTTTTCTCTGACAGGTTACAGCCACCCAGCCTGAAGAAGGACAAAAACATAATTTCAAAATAATCATTATTCTGTAGGAATGAATGGCTTTGGACTGTCCTGTCCTGTTTTCTTTAAACTTACAGAGACTTTTTGGAAGCTTTGACGACTGGCAGCAGCCTCAGAAGACCCTCCTCAGATGCAGAGTATTTCTTCAGGTCAAACACCTCCAGGTCTTCCTCCGATGACAGCAAGATGAAGGCCAGAGCTGACCACTGAGCAGGAGAGAGTCTGACCGTGGAGAGACGTCCTGAACTCAGGTATTGCTGGATCTCCTCCTCTAGAGAAGAATCATTCAGCTCGTTCAGACAGTGCAACAGGTTGATGCTCCTCTCCGGAGACAGGTCCCTTCTGATCACGCTCTTGATGTACTGGACTGTGTCCTGACTGCTGTGCGAGCTGTTTCCTGTGTGCGTCATCAGGCCTCGCAGGAGAGTCTGATTGGTCTGCAGTGAAAGGCCCAGGAGGAAGCGGAGGAACAAATCCAGGTGTCCATTTGGACTCCGTAAAGCCATGTCCACGGCACTCTGGAAGAGGTATGATAGTTTGGATTTGTCCCTTAATAGATTAGACCACCAGGCTTTTGACGGAGACAGCAGATTGACGCCAGAGTTCATTAAAGTCAGAAAAACGTATAGAGCGGCCAGAAACTCCTGAACACTCAGATGGACGAAGCAGAACACCTT